TGACACTCATGAAGTGCTTTTGTTGTTGTTGTGAGCCATAGAGTCCATTCCCACTCACAGCAAACCTATAGGACCTGTGTAGAACTGTCCCATAGGGTTTCTTAGGCTGTAATCTTTATGGAAGCAGATCACCAGGTCTTTTCTCCCACGGAGCCGCTGGTGGGTTTGAACTGCCAACCTTTCGGTTACTAGCCAAGCACTTAATCATTGTGCCCACTACTCAAAAAACTTACCTACTTCTCAAAAAAACTTACACTGCAGAAGTGTTTTATATTTTCCAAAGGGTTTTTAATCTTCGCCATAACTCTTTAATCCCTTTATAGATAAAAAAGGTGAAGCTGTAAAATTACTATTACTGTAACCATTAGCCTAAAGTGGCCCTACTGGATATGGTACATCCAAGACTGAAGCAACTTTCTAGGCTTCAAGTTCAGTGTTCTTGCCAGTGTACTGTATGGCTTTACTACTGCATTGTATTAAATAATCGTTGTTAGCCACTGGTCTTGCCTATAGATCTAGGTAGAAAATAGACATTAGTGAAACTGGTGGATTGAGATAAGATGACAAATAGCAACTGGCATGAGGCCACAGTGTCAGGGACCCAATAAGGAGAGGTGGGAACTGTACTGGACTAGGAAGCACAGGCCCAATCTAAAGGGGGCAGCCATTATTCACCATCGATCCAACATAGCTATTGTCTTGTGATAATGCAGGCTAGAAGTAAAGTAATGTCATTACTTGTTGCATATCACTCCTTTCTGGGTTAAATTTTGTTCTTCCTGCCTGATAGGTTGTTTTTTTCCCATAAGGATCTATTAGTAGTAAATTTTCTGTATTTGTCTGAAATTTTGTCCTCACTCTAATGTGATAGTCTAGTTAGGTATAGAATTCTAGGCTGACAGTTTTCTCTAAACATTTTCAAAAATACCATTTCATTGTCTTCCATTGTCAGTTAGTTCTCTTGGAAAGTTGACTGTATATTTAATTGCATTTCTTCGTAGATATTTGATTTTCCTCCCCAGTTGTTAAGATCTCATCTTGACTTTGTTGTTTTATGACATCACTTTGATGTTTCAAAGTACAAACTTTTTATTTTTAATTTACTTTGTTTGATGTTCCTTGTGATTCTTAAATCTGAGGATTTATATCTTTCATAAATGTAGGAAAATTCTTAGCATTAACTCTTCAAATACAGCTTTTCTTTCATTCTTTCAAACTGTTGGCTCTGGGACTCATATTTCAGTCCTATAATAGAACTTCTCATTCTATTCCTCATACTTCTTAACTTCTTTTTTATACATTCCATTTCTTTATCTCCATATATTTCATTTTAAGTAACTTTCTCAGCTACTTCATGAATTCTCTTCAGTTATTCTAATTTGTTATTTAACTTATCTACTGAGTGTGTGGAGCCCTGCTAGCTCAGTGGTTAAGAGCTCAGCTGCTAACCAAAAGATCCACAGTTGGAATCCACCAGCTGTTCCTTGGAAACCCTATGGTGCAGTTCTGCTCTGTCCTGTAGCGTCTCTATGAGTTGGAATCGACTTAACGGCAACAGGTTTTGGTTATTGAGTTTTTAAATTTCAGTGACTGTGTTTTTTATTTCTGGAAGTTTTGTTTGGTTCTTTATCAGATCTGCCTAATCTTTATTTATGATGTCTTATTATTATCTTGTGATTCCTATTGCTTCTTTTATCTCTTTAATAATTTTAAGTGCTTTTGTCTTATATTTGCTGTCAAATTGTTCTTTAGCTCAAGTTCTTGTGATAATTCCTTTATTGTGTCTCTTTCTGTTCTGTCTCATGGTGGTTTATTACCTTGTGCATTTTATGATTATCATTATCATTTTTTGTGAGTTCATCTTAAACAAGGATTGTTTTTTCTCTAGGAATCCCATATAAGCAGGCTTTTGGAAGTGTTTCCCAGCGAGGTATTTTATATGTTTCTGCCAGATAGCCTGGGACCAATTTTTTTGTTGTTGTTAATTTCTTAGCTTGGGGATTCCTGTACCATCTGTATAGTATGACACTAGCTTACAGTTTTGTTTCCCAGAGGAGACTCTTCAGCCACTCCATCCCACAGCCTGAAACCTAAACAAGCTTCCTTGTCATCTTCTCAGGTCACTAGGAGAAGTTTTGCTAGGCATTGCCCAGCTTAAAGAAAGCAGAGGAAAAAAACACTGAGGTTGAAGTGGAAGAAGAGCCTGTAATCTTATACCTTGACCTCGTTAGTACTATATTAATTATTGAATAACATATGCAGGATTTTTAGTATTAAACATTCCTGATTAAACATCTATGGGTGACTTGGATACCACCAAACACCCCAGATTTCTTCAAAAATGGATGTATAGCTTTTTAGTTCTTTTCCTGGAATAATTTTACTTTACTAAGGAATGTATCTTTTTTAGAACTGCATTAACAAAGTGCTTTAAATCTTCTGTACATAGCAGTAAAAATGGTGATCATATGGGCATTAACTTCTAGTCAGAATACAGGCTGTTACTTTCATCCCCACATATATAAACCCCCACGAGTGTTAACATTCTGGGATGAGGTTATTTGTTAAAGGGAGAAGGGAAAGGGAGAGAGAAAATAACCAATTTTAAACCTACTGTAACTGAAAATTCTCTTGCCAATAACCATGCATTAGAACCCAGGGAGGAGGACAGGGCCAAGAGTCCAGGATTTGTACCTTACCAAGATAATCTGAGTGCATACCTAATTTGTTTTCACCAGTCTGCCTTGGAGGTATGTCAACATTAGGATGAAGAATATCAGCTTTGGCTTCTTCTCTTTTAGCAGAAATTGTCACTCACCTTGAGTAAACAGATATTTCAAATTCTGCTTTTCAAATAAAGAAACCAGGGTATAAGGAAACAGAAGGCCTTTTCTTAAAACTGTTTAGCAAGTGAATGGCCCATGTGGGATTGGGATGCTGGTCTCATATGCTGTCTTTCTGCATTCTCACCTTCTATTTCAGTGACTGTGCACCAAATTAACCTAATAAGCTGGAGCTAGAAAATTGTAAGAGTGTTTAAAAGAAAGAAAAAAAAATCAGGAAATTGCTGGAATATTTCAAGCATATTTCTTTGGTTAACTTATTTTGAAATTTTTCTCTGTTTTGTGTTTTAGTCTGCCCTTATAATTTATCAAAGACAGACTCATTGTTTTGGCAAGCCCCTGGCCTGGAAGTCTCCAACAAAAACTTACAGCACTCTGAATAGGAATTTTTTAATGCGTTCTTAGTCCTGAACTTGAAAATGTATTCTAGATGTAAGTTTGCTGGGAAATTTAAACAATACCATTTATCATATAATAACATTGCTCCAGACAAAAAGCTTTTTCATCTCTTTCTTTTGTTAATATCCCTCCTACTGCATTAATTTTTTAGGGCTTCCCCACACCTTCACCCTTCACCCCCACCCCCGGCCTCAAATGTGAGCCATACCTCTTTAAATTTTTTAAAATTATATATAGTTCCCACTTTCCTATGTCAGTCCCTGCGTTGTGCAAACAGTAAATGCACCCAGCTGCTAACCAAAAGGTTGATGGTTCAAGTCCCAGAGGCACCTTGGAAGGAAGGCCTGGCAATCTACTTCCCCAAAAATGAGCCACTGAAAACCCTATGGAACACAGTTCTATTCTGATATGAGTCGGAGTAGACTTGATGGCAACTGGTTTTGGTAACTAGTTTCTCATGTCACTAAATAGTCTTACATTATTTTTTTTCACAGGCTGCCCATTGGTCCATCAAGGATATGACGTAATATTTAACCAATCACACTACTTGGCATTTAATTTGTTTCAAGTTATTAGCTGTTATAAACAATACTATGATGATATCTTTTGTGAATATTTAAAATTATTCCTTTAGGATTGTAAAAATGGCATGAGGGCGGTATCTGACCTCTTCTATTTTCACCAGGGGGAAGGAGAACCAAGATCAACAACCCAAGACTGATTCCTATGAGGTGGAGGTCAGACATGCCTCCTCTTTCTTCCATCTTTACTAATTCTGACACCAACTGTCCCTCGCACAGCACTATCTACTTCTCTGCTGGGTTCGATAATTCATTGCAATGGCCACACAGAGCTCACAGACCATACTTGCAATTATGGGGTTTATTAGGGAAGTAACAGGTTACAATTCAGGCTCAGGAACACTCAAGATACAGTTCTTCCATCAGGACAGCCTCCCTGGCCCTAGACCTCTCCCTGGCCCTAGGCCTCTCCCCAAAGGCACTCAGCTTTCTCTCTCCGTGGGCCAGAAAGCCCAGCACCATCTCCTGCTGCTGGGTCTCTGCTGCTGGGTCTTCCCTGCCACCGCTTCTCACCGTGTCTCTCACTCTCTCTCTCACCAAGTTTGCCAGTGGTTGACTGGAGATGACTGTAATATTGTGATGTGATGCAGCTGTGCTTCAGGAACCCCTGAGGCACCTGTTTGTCTTTCCAGTGAATTGTCCCAGGCTGCTGTGCCTTCCATCAGTGTTTTCTCATCTTCCACCTTACAAATTAAGAACTCAAGGTTGTCGCTGTTAACAGTGATTATCAGGGAGTGGAATTTGCAGGGGCTTTTACTTTCTCAGGAATCCCGGGTGGTGCAACTAGTTAAAGGTTGGTGGTTGGAAACCACCCGGAGGCCTCAGAAGAAAGGCCTGGACGTCTGCTTCTAAAAGATCACAGCCATGAAAACCTTAAAGAGCAGCTCTACTCTGCAACACACGGGGTCACCATGAGTTGGAATTGACGGCTACTGGTTAGGTCTTGATTTGGTTTTACTTTCTAAACCATACATTTCTGTAAGTTTGAATTATTTACAACAAACAGATTTTGGTAATGGTGGGGGGCAGGGGACTAAAGATGGAGAGAGGTGGCTAGATAACCTAGATTGTTAAATTAGTTTAACTTTATCCACAATATTAAGTCAGCAGCTCAGGTAGTTTGAAGAGGGGTGAATCAAGAGTCTGGTGCACTGCTTGATTCTTGTTGCGCCTCCAGCCCTGTCCCCACACTTCTCCTGACTGGATTCCCGCGATGGCTGTCAGGCCCATCTGCCAGCTGAATGGAGCTGCCGCAGGTTGTCAGTAATCGCATAATAATTACGGGCATCCTATCTCTGGTGCAAAATAGCAGATTCTTGGAGAAAAAGGAATAAATCTAGATTTAGCCCCCTGTTCCCTCCAGCCTAAAATACAATTGGTTTCTTCTTATGATAATGATGAAATAAAATATTGAAAGTACAGCTTCTCCAAAGAACATGTACTATTGTTTGGGCTACAGTCATAGCTGTAAAATTTTCCTCATTGTACTCCCCAAACTTTTGGTCATAAAGGAGGAGGCTTTATAATTTGTTATATCCTATCAACAAAGGATAAAAGTGCCTTTTCAGAAAACTCTGAAAGCTGCTGTAATAAATAGTTTATCATTTCAGGAATGGCAGTGGATAAAATGCTGAGAGGTCTTAGGTCATGTTAAAAAAAATTAATAAACCTCACTATTTATTCAGTAAATATGTAAGTGGAATCATCCATAATTGTTCATTTTGTTAAAAGCCATAAGTATCCTTGAAAAGAGATGGAAAGGTATGTTGGTAAGCAAACCTACCATGTTCTCCACATAAAAGTGAACAGTTTTCTCAGTATACCCTGTATTCTCTGCTTAGGACAGTGGAGATTCAGCCAGCAGTGTTATTTTCTCCTTAATGTTTTGAAATACTAAGGAAAAAGTAATATTGAATTAAATTGGAAATAGCTGCACATTCTGACCCTGCTAATAATCTAAATTTAGCTAACTAAATGGATTACAGTATTTTTGTCTTTAAACCCATTAAGATTTAGAAGTGTTGGGCTGCCCTTCAGTTTCTAAAATACTGTTTTCTTTCTTTAGAAACGGTAACTCTGAACTTTTAGGCTCTGTAGCTTTTCCTTCCACAAGGATGTTGGGATGAACTGTGTTAAGAAATACCAAGCAGTGAAGTCATGCTTAAGCAGTACATACTTAGGCCTATTTGAATTTATTTGGGGAGAGTCCCAAATGTTTGTCAAGGAAATTCTAAAATTTAAATTCAGTCTTTCTGATTGACAATGAAAGTAGTCTAGATCTTATGGAGCGATGTCTGTGGCTTACAGCTTCAGGTGACTGTGGTCATTTTGGACTTTTGGAATATTTAAATTCTGTGACTCATTAAAAAAATCCTCTGATCACAGCTACCACAGCCTCTACCAGACTGAGTCCAGCACAATTAGACGGGGCCTGGCTACCACCACCTACTGCTCTGATCACAATAGAGGGTCCTGGACAGAGCTAGAGAAAAAACGTAGAACAAAATTCTGACTCACAAAAAAAGACAAGGCTCTGACAGAGACTGGAGAAACCCCAAGAGTGTGGCCCCCGGACACCCTTTTAATTCAGTACTGAAGTCACTCCTGAGGTTCACCCTTCAGCCAAAGATTAGACAGGCCCACAAAACAAAATGAGACTAAAGGGGCACACCAACCCAGGGGCAAGGACAAGAAGGCAGGAGGGGACAGGAAAGCTGGTAATGGGGAACCCACAGTCGAGAAGGAGAGAGTGTTTGCATATCGTGGGATTGGCAACCAGTGTCACAAAACAATATGTATATTGTTTAATGAGAGACTAATTTGCTCTGTAAACCTTCATCTAAAGCACAGTTAAAAAAAAAAAAAAAAGTCCTCTGAACATCTTTCTGCCCTACAGAAATGCTGCTCTTAAGATACAGAGTTTTTTAAACTTAGAATGGCAAATTTAATGAGAAGAAATAGCTTAGGATTTGGTTTAGAGTGGAAATGCTGTACCTCTTTGAGATAATAGTTGCTATTTTTAGATATACTTAAAAAGAGATGAGAAATATTGATGCTTCTAATCTTCATTAGGAGGTACATGCTCTTAAATCTCTAGCTAGTTACTGGTTACAGGTAAGTTTTTGAAAATACTTTTGAAAATATTTTAAAGTATATGTAATAATGAGTAACTGACTCAACACTAGTTTTTAAAGACTTTTGTGCTTCATTATAAAATAAACATAACAATTTACTAAACAAAAATAGATTTTCCATAGTAAAACTTGGCTAGAAGAAAGGCACGTTCCTAGGTCTGGCATTCAAAAGTGAATATTAATTCAAAGGAGCTGGATGTTGGGACTTCAAGAGGATACAGTCCTGTCTTCCTGCTGTGGCCTTGCAGGATCTAATGAATGACAATATTTTGCTGCTTTTCAATGTTTCTGTATTCCTTTTACTGAGTAAGTGAGACAGAGACTGACAGCTGTAGAAATAGATAGGTGTTTGTAATCTTATGTCCAAGCTTTAGTGTTTAAGAAAAACTCCCAGAGAGACAATGCTTCTTTAATATAAAAGGTAGACTCTAAGCTATGTTTGTGTGGGTTATTTTCTTCAACTCAGCTGACCTTCCTGGCTGGATTTTTTACATATTACTCCTTATTTCACCTTCTTCCGCAGTTTACATCTAGTGGTCCCTAGTTATGTTTCTAGATTACTGTATCATGGAACTACTATGAGTTAGTATCTTACAAAAGCAATTATGGAGCCAAAGCTCAAAAATTATTAGATGTCCTGGGGAGCTGGGAGGAAGAGAATCACAGCCGCTTCCATCCAAATGGTGCTGGGGCACCTCCAGGCGGTGCTCCCTCCCGCTCTCATTAGTAACAATTCCACAGTTGGTTGGTATGCGTGGGTTTATTGTCAGGAAGCTTTTATCTGCTCATGTGCCACACACACATAATGATGACATTCTAATCTATTTCAGAACTTAAGCTCTTTAAAAAATTCATTAAGATAAAATCATTTTTCCAAAATAAATAAGGGAATTTCTTTATCTTATTACTTGTTACTGTTCTTTACAAAGGAGACGAAGAAACTCCCTAGGATTTTGAGTGAGACTTTTTCTAAGGAAGGTTCATGAGTAAGACAGAATGTTCTAGAAATTTGAGATCTACAGTCACAGGAATTTCCTTATTTTATTTTGTTTTGTTTTTCATACTCATAACAAAGTGATAAATGATGAAACTGTAGGTGATTGAAAGAGTTAAAAGGATTTCTGTGTTGGACAAATTAGGGTAACAGATGGAATGCATGTAGGTGGGAAAGCTATTATTTAAACAGAAAAGGGCTGCTGTATATTGGAAAGGGATGAATTTTTTAGAGTAGCAGGGGTTTGAGGCTTAACATTTTGGACACTAAATTAATATATTTACTAGTGGACACAATAGGAAGAGGAAGCCAAAGCGTATGGTCAGGAAGGGAGTAAACAGGCCACCAACAAAGAGGAAGAATGGAGTAGCTAAAATAAACTGAGGGTAGATGAGAAGTGGATCCTGTGGTATCGAGATACCCAAAGGACCTTAAGAAACTAAAAAACTTCAAATAATAAAGAAATTACCTTGGAAATACTAATATTGTTACCTTCATTTGGGAAGTGTCTTTGTATGAACAGGGAAGAAAATGAAGGAAGCAACTATGAATTACCACCTTGTGCTTTCACAAGTATGCATATGAGTAAAATGTGGCAAGGAAGTGAGAACCAGTTTAAGCCCTCAAGTCACATAGGCAGGAAACCAACAAAGAATGTTGAGATGCTAGATATTAAATGTTACCAATCATCAGACAGAAAGTGGGACAGACTACTCCACATTTCTTCCTTGTTTTTACATTTGAACGTTTCAATGTACTTTCTTTCTTTTCTTTTTTAAAAATTTATTAGGTCTTAATTTTCAATAGCATTTGTTCAGTAAAAAGGCCCTCAAATCAAGCAGACAAACAAAAAGTTGCCTTGGTTATGTTGGAACAAGGCCCTTTTCCTGTTGTGCCTTTGGCTCAATGTAGTAAGTTTGCCAAGTCACCGAAGGGCCAATCCATGTTTTCATCTGGCAGGGGCTGTGTGGACCTCAGATTGTGTTAGAGATTTATGAGATGATATTCATCAAGGCACCTCCAATGTGCTAACAATGTGCTAGATGAATCCAAGGTAGTATTACCAGTATAATAATCCCTTGTATTTGTGGGTGACTTTAGAGTTCACATACATTCTTGTTTGAGCTTTAAAATTGATTCTGCAACTTATCAACATGGTCTCTTTCTTTTAGATATGTGATTAATCAAAATTAGAAGAAAGAAACAAATTATGAATTATTATTAATTATTTAAGAAGAAAACAATGGAATAAAACAAAATAGAATTATAGAAAGCATGGAGAGAGCTCCATAATTACTGCTTCTTTAAAGTATATACTAAAAATAAATGTATTTAGAGTTTTAGAAAGTTCCGTTTTGATTAGTGGCCCATATGGCTTTTTGGAGCCCTGGTGGCACAGTGGTTAAGAGCTCAGCTGCTGATCAAAAGGTCAGCAGTTCAAATCCACCAGGCGCTCCTTGGAAACCCTATGGAGCATTTCTACTCTGTCCTTTAGGACAATTCCAACGCTATCAGTTGGAATTGACTCGACGGCAACGGGTTTTGTTTTGTGGCTTTTTAGTTCGTGAACCCTGCTGAGAATTGCATAAAAAATTGATGGGTACCCCCCCCTAAATATATGTGTGTATATATAGGTACAAGCAGAATTTCCCAGAAGGGCCATCCAGGTAACATAAATATGTAAATTGGGCCAAATGATGTACAATAGATAATGGTGACCCTTGTGTCAAACTACAAAGTGCATGCCAAGTTAAGATGATAGACAGTGGTGGGGTTTGTGACAAACTAGAATACACATTCCTTACCTAAAGTAAATTCAAATCCATTTTTTTTTTTAAATAGTATATGCTAAATCCAAACAATTGCCAGTAAATTTGGTTCCTAGCTTCCTCCTCCTTGAGTTTGCAGTTCCTCTGCCCAAGCCTTTATTTATTATGCGTAAACATGGGAGTATTTTTTTTTTTCCCTAAGGCACGACAACAAGCTCAAATACGTCACCAAATGGCAGAAGACAGCAAAGCAGATTATTTATCAATTCTCCAGAAATTCAACCATGAGCAGCATGAATATTACCATACGCACATACCCAACATCTTTCAGGTAAGTGATACAAATCTCTCAGATTTCATGTTTTGATTTGCTTAGACACAGGTTGCTTCTGAACCATGATTGCTAGGTTTGTATTCTAAGTGTTTATATAATTTTAAATTTTCACCAACTGAAATCATTTTGTAAACCGCAGAGATCAAACGTTGACTTGCTAAAGGAATTAAATATAATATTAATCTCACGATTAATCAATAGCCTTTGCAAATTTCAAATTCTGTGAAGATAAATCCTTTGGTTTGCCTGGAACCATTCTTTGCCAGTTTTAGAACTGGTTCTTAGATGAACACTCTTTCCTAAAAGGAAGGAGTCCTGGTGGCAGAGTGGTTAAACACTCAGCTGCTAACTGAAAGGTTGGCGGTTCGAACCACCAGCCGCTCCTCGGGAGAGAGATGTGACAGTCTGCTTCCATAAAGATTATAGCCTTGGAAACCCTATGGGGTAGTTCTACTCTGTCCTATAGGGTTGTTATGAGTGGGAATTGATTCAACGGCAGTGGCTTTGGGTATTTGGATTCCTAAAAGGACCATTCTCATTACAAAAATGCCAACTTAACTTGAGTTAAAGCAGTATTCATAAAGTTGTAGGATTTGAACAACTGTCAGACAGTTCCATCCTTTTGATTGTTTTTCTTTTAGGTACTTTAGGTTGTCAGAAATGTATGAGAAAAGATATATAAATATTCTCCCACTTGGGAATCTTTTAAACTTAGAGTGCAGCTAAGCAAAAATAATGTTTTCTTCTTGGTGTCTACGCACACCGTAAATAAGAACTTCCAAATTGTAGAAGGAAGATACATTGACTGTATCGCAGCAACCAAGCCAGTGCTGGGTTGAGACAGTTAACCAAATACTGTGCTTTTGGTAAAGGATAAAGTAGTAGATCAAAGATGGAGAAAATATTTGAAATGTATTGTCAAATGGTGTTAGTGTAAAGCTAGTTGAGTTTGGGGGTTTTACTGACATTGGAATAGAAGTGTGTAAAGTATACATTTTGAGCAGCCTAACAATTCATAAAATATGTCTACAACTGGGTAATATGGAGGCACAATAAATTTACTGTTGCCCTAACTTTAACCGCTTCGTATTGGCTCATGTCCCTCCTAGAGAACTTGTTAGACTTAAACAGTACTGTCAAAAAAACAACTTCTTTAAATAATAGTGGACTAAATTAAATTCTGTACAAAATCTAATGTTGCAGAAAATACAAGAGATGGAGGAAAGGAGGATAGTTAGAATTGGAGAATCAATGAAGACATACGCAGAGGTTGATCGGCAGGTGATACCAATTATTGGCAAGTGTTTGGATGGAATAGTAAAGGCAGCTGAATCAATTGATCAGAAAAGTGTAAGTATTGTATTTGGGCTTAATTTATAACTAAGTGTTTGTATTCTCATTGTTTCAAATGAGTAGGTAAATTTCTAACAGATACAGAAGTTATTTAAATTTGGCAAGGTCTTCTCCCTCCCCCCCCCCGCCCCGTTCCAGTGTCCTCATTTAATCATCTCATGGTAGGTACGTGCTTTTGGTGGTCACCACAAGTACTTTTCATCAGTAGCAACACCACTTGAGAGTTCTTTTATTCAGTCCTCTGTGTTTTAGATGAACTCATTCTAATTTCCTTTCTGAAATCACATTTTAGTGGTAAAATTTTGAGACATTACAGATTTAAATTAAAGTGTTTTCTTTTTGTCAATTGGCTGAGTAACCCCCCAAATTGAGGTCTGATTGATTTCTGAAAAAAGGCAAGCCTTTTTTCCTTTAGGGTAGGGTTTTTTTGGGGCACTATTGACATTTTGGGTCAGATAATTATTTGTTTGGGGGGCATGCTGTCCTGTGCACTGTAGGATGTTAGCAATATCCCTGGCCTCTACCCACTAGATGCCAGTAGTGCTCTCAAACTCTCAAGTTGTGACAATAAAAAGTGTCTCCAAACAACAGATAGATAGACCAGTGGAACAGAATTGAGAATCCAGATGTAAATTCATCCACCTATGAGCAGCTGGTATTTGACAAAGACCCAAAGTCTGTCGTTAATTGGGGAGAAGACAGTCTCTCTAACAAATGGTGCTGGCATAACTGGATACCCATCTGCAAAAAAATGAAACAATACCCATAACTCACACTATGTATAAAAACTAGCTCAAAATGGATCAAAGACCTAAATAGAAAATCTAAAACGATAAAGATCATGGAAGAAAAAATAGGGACAATGCTAAGAGCCCTAATACATGGCATAAACAGAATACAAAACGTTACTAACAATCCACGAACACCAGAAGAGAAACTAGATAACTAGGAGCTCCTAAAAATCAAACACTTATGCTCATCAAAAGACTTCACCAAAAGAGTCAAAAGACAACCTACAGACTGAGAAAAAAATTTTGGCTATGACAAATCCAATCAGCATCTAATCTCTAAAATGTACAAGATACTGCAAAACCTCAACAACAACAAAAAACCCAATTAAAAAATGGGCAAAGGATATGAACAGGCACTTCACCAAAGAAGACGTTTAGGCAGCTACCAGATATATGAGGAAATGCGTCACGATCATTAGCCATTAGAGAAATGCAAATCAAAACTACAATGATATACCATTCTCACCCCAACAAGGCTAGCATTAATCCAAAAAGCACAAAAAGTGTCTCCAGAGGTTGCCAGATGTCCCCTGGGAAGCAAAATGATCCCTGATTGAAAACCACTGCTGTAGGGCCAATGGTATCAATTTGTATTCCTTTCCTAGAAACCTATTTCCCTCAACAAAAACATTGACTAGAACACCAACCTTGACTTTTACAAACATTTATTCATTTAAGAAACCAAATATTGAACATATGTGCTGTAAATATTTGATGTCATCAGGGCTTCTTAAAATGTTGAGTCCAGGGATTGAAGCAGTCTTTTCCTTGTGAATAGATCACCTATTAGCAGACAGATTCCGAAAGGTCAGCAGTTTGAACCCGCCAGCTGCCCCTCACAGGGGTGTATTAACCAGTAAACAAGGTATGCACAGCCTTACAGTAAACAAGGTACGCACAAGCTTGCTTGTGTTTACTTACTAACCTGTAGTGCACAATTTCACATGGGTTTCACTACATCATGGGCTTACTTGTGTTTACTTACTAATCTTTAGTCAACAATTTCACATGAATTTCACTACATCTTTGATATGGTAAAAAAACAGATGAAATTATGTGCTACAAATTAGTAAGTAAGCATAAGTAAGCCAGCCTGTGTGTACCTTGCTTATTGGGTAATCCATGCCTGGCATGGGGGAAAGATCTATCAGTCTGCTTCTGTAAAGATTTATAGCCTTGGAAACCCTATGAAGCAGTTCTACTCTGTCCTATGGTTGCTATGAATTGAAATCGACTTGATGGCAGCGAGTTTTAGAGATATATGAGTTCTTTGTCATTGGTTATGCACTCATTAAGTCAAATTTTTCCATGTTATGAATCTTCCCATTCCATTTTCTTATCACTGTTAGTCATTGTTGTGCGTCTTTGCATCTTTGGCTTTGGTAGAAGTCTTTTGATAGTTGTAAATGCCTTGGTCTTAGTAGGAAATCAAGAAGTAGTGAGGCTTTCCTTGATCACCCTACCGACACAAATAAATTAAATATGGAGATCTTTTAAAGAGATGTAGTGATAGTGGGGTTTATAAGTTAAGCCTTCAAAAGTCAGGTCACCTATATGTGAATTTTGAGTTTTAGCTTCATTGATTTCTGGCATTGACAAAAATCTGAAACTAGCCTGATTTTAATTTCTTATATTAGAAGCTTGGAAATGTCTTTTTCCTTGAACTTTCTCAATTTCATTAAGACTATATCTGAATGGTGGGTTCTCTCTGTCAGTTTTATTTAGGAAGTTGTAAACGCCTACGTTTACAGAATTTTTTTCCCCATTACAGAAGCCTTGTTTTCCATTGTATCACTTATAATTCTGTTTCACCAGTGACCTCTATGTTGCTAAATCTAAGGGTCACTTGTAAGTCTTCCTCTTACTTAAACTCTTAGCAGCATTGGCTCTCACTTAACCACCCTCTGACCTTCTCCTCCTTCACTTGGCTCCCAGAAAATCATACTGTAATGGCTTTTATCCTCCTCACTGGTCTCTGTCTCCTTTGCTTGTTCTTCTTCTAACCATTTAACTTTCAGGTGCTCCGCAGCTTAGTACTTAGACCTCTTTACTATCCACATTCACTCCTTAAATGGTCTACGGACTCTCAGAACATTATGTCTCATCTCAGTACTGACTTACAAATTTTGTGTTTCCAGCCTGGACCTCTCCCCCAAACTACAGGCTCTCCACTTGCATGTTAAGGTTTCTGTGACTGCCTTCTGACACCAACTCTAAATGTATTCTCTGACACCAACTGCAAATGCAGTTCTTTTTCTGACCCTAACCACCTGGAGCTAAGTCATGTCTCAAGTTATAAAGGGCACAGTCCTCCGGACTGCCAAGTCTGCCCAAGACTTCAGACATCAGTTACATGTTTGGGGGTCCCAACAGTACCCTCACTTTTGACCTTCTGGCTACAAATTTGGGTGTTCCCACTACTCCCTTGAGATACCAGCTGCAAGCTCAGGGGCCTCAAGGACTCCTTTACTTCTGACTTGCTGGATACAAGTTTGGGGATCCCCACTACTCCCCTCATGTTTGATAATTTGTTAGAATGATTCACAGAACTCAGGAAAGTGCTATACTTAAAATTAGAGTTTTATTATAGCAAAAAGGATACAAATGAAGAGACATAGAATGAGGTCTAGGAAGATCCCCAACATGGAGCTTCCATGTCCCAAAGGGCTTGTCACCCTCCTATGCATTGATGTCTATCACCAGCCGGGAAGATCACCTGAGCTTCGGTGTCCAGAGTTTTTAATGGAGTTTCATTAAATAGGCCTGACTGATTGAATCACTGCCCATGTCTTTGAACTCAATCTATAGCTACCCTCGCCTTCCCAAAGGTTGGGTTGATATCTGGTGATGGGTTTTTCTGGCCCATTCAACATGTGTCACCTCATTAGCATAAACTCTCAGTTGTGATCTGGAGCCCCTCTATGAATAATAAAGACTCCAGTCACTGGGGGGATTCCAAGGGTTTAGAGATTACCTCCAAGGAACCAGGGACAGAGACCAAAATCTTTGGGTAGAGTTCATCATATATCCCACAGATGTCTAATAGATACTTAACATATTCAAAAGGGAGCCCTTGACCTTCCTTGCCAAACTTGCTCTTCTCATAGTCTTCACCATCTTGGTTAATGGTGAGTCTGTCCTTCCAGTTGCTTGGATCTTGGAATCATCCTTGATACGTTCCTTTTCTCGAACCTGTATCCATTTATCAGCCAGTTCTGTTGACTCTACCTTAAAAATATATTCAGATCCCAACCAGCTCTCATCACTTCCACTGTTACTCTCCTGATCCAAGACTCCATAATCTTTTGTCTGGATTACTGCAGGAGTCATCTGACTAGTCTCCCTACTTCTGCCCTTGTCCCCGACAATCCGTTCTTAACACAGAGGCCAGAGAGGCAGAGAGATCCTTTTAAAATAAGTTAGGTCATGTTCATCGTTTGCTCAGAACCCTCCAGGGGCTTCTGTCTCACTAAGAGGAAAAGCCAAAGTCATCCAGGGCTGCAAAGCCCTAAACTATCTGGAACACCTCCTTTTCCGTTTATCTTTCTGATGTCATCTATTGTCTTCTCCCCAGTGCTGTAGCCACAGTGTCTCTTGGGTATTCCTTGAAAACCCCAAGTGGTTCTCTCTGCCTGGAATGTTCTTCCCCAGGTATCTGCAGGGTTCAGTCCCGCATCTCCTTTGGGTCTTTACTTAAATGAATGAATGTTTCACTTTGCTCTATCTTCTTTGAGAATTCAAAAGTCAGGTCTTCCTTTATCGGTACAAGTCCTCTGACCTTGCACATTATCTTTCCAAACATTCCTTCTATGTTTTAGATAAGTTTTCCACATTTATCTTCATTTGCAGATTCAGTTTTTGGAAAAGTTAATTATGGTCTTACTGCTTTGACCTTAGGTATTTTCATGTAAGTTTCCATTTCCTCATACCCTCTTTATCTCTGCCTGTTCATGTATAATTGATATATCCTTTTTTAAACCTTATCTTGAGAAAAATTGCTGGTACTTTATAAAATTCTTCACTGAACACTTACTTCTTTCCAGGCCTGTGGTCCTCACTGAGGAGAACACGGAACTCAGGGAGGTTACAGTCTTGCTTTGGGTCACACTGTAAATTTGTCTGTCTGGCTCTGAAGCCTGTGTTCTTTCTTCTAAGCCCTGCCACCTTCTTTTTACTTTTAAAACAAGTCCAGTGTCTGGCACATGTTTGAATCTACCCACTCATTCAAAAGTGCCAGGCACTGTTCTGAAGGAGGAGATAGACAATAAAGAAAATAAAAGAGAACATTATTTAGAGTATTCAAACATGTTTAGTGTTTGGAAAAAATAAAGTAGGAAAGGGTGATAGGAAATGCCTGGGGGATGATATACTGAGAAGGTACATTTCAATGAAGACTTGGAGGAGGTGATTTAATAAGTATTTAAATGGGGTAGAAGAATATACCACTTCTAGCCCTGCTACCCACCAACAAACTCAGTGCCCTCTCCCTCCCTTAGGGCGGTTTTAAAAAACATGATTACCTAAAACTGGCTTATTTCTGTAAGGTTAGTTTTCATTTAAGGAGCCCTGGCAATGCAATGGTTAAGCGCTCAGCTGCTTAAGGTTGGCGCTTCAAATCCACTGACAGGTTGGTGGCTCGATATTACCCAGCAGGTCTACAGGGGAAAGTTGTGGCAATCTGCTCTCGTAAAGATTACAGCCTAGAAGACCCTATGGGGCAATTCTGCCCTGTCACATAGGGTCGATATGAATTGAAATTGACTTGATGGCACCTAACAACAACAACAGTTTCCAATTATATCAAGTGATCATGTTTTTACTATAATAGATCAGTGTAGTTGCTTGAATACATGTCATGACTGCAGAGCTGAATCTGCTAGTATAGGTTTAGCGTCATATAATAGGAACAGTAGTGTTTTAAACAAGATAGTTTACTTTTTCTCTCATGCATAAGTTGTTTCGAGGTAGAGGGTCCAGCACTGGCATGGATGGATGGTCCATAAAATCCTCATGAACCCAGGCTCCTTCCAGTTCACAGCTTTTGATTAGATGACCTTCAGACTTGTGATCTGGCTCCTGGAGCTCCAACCATCACATCCAAATTGCAGAAAGCAGATTATGGAGAAGGACCCGTGCCATCCCTTTGAAGAGACTTCCTAAAATTGCACAGTGTACTTCTGCCTGCATCTTAGAGGTCAAAACTTAGTCATGTCACCACATCTTGCTGTACAAGTCTAGGGCGAAAAACCTTTTAGCTGGGCGGCAGTGTGCCCAACTTAAAATCAGGGTTCTTGTTACTAAGAAGGAAGGGTAATTGGCTATTAGAAGACAGCTGGCAGTGTCTGGCACAGCTACAAGTTACATATTAGCTGAAAGGGCTACAACTAATTAAACTGCGGAGGTACTGTGGTAGAATTCTGACCTTCCACGCAGGAGACTCAGGTTTGATTCTCATCCAGTGCATCTGATGTGCATCCACCAGCCATCTGTCAGTGGAGGCTTGCGTGTTGCTGTGAGACTGAGCAGGTTTCAGCAGAGCTTCCAGACTAAGATGGACTAGGACAAGAGGCCTGGCAATCCACTTCTGAAAATCAGCCAATGAAAACTGTGTATCACAATGGTTCAGTTCACAACTGATCATGGCGATGACACAGGACCAGGCAGCATCTCATCCCTTTCTGCTTGGAGTTACCATGAGTGGAAGGCCAACTTGATGGCAGCCAACAACAATTAACATGTTGGCTCATGTTAAGAACCTTAAATCTTTCCGAATTGCTATCCTCAGCAATTTTTTTTAATTAAATGATTGTTGAGTTAGATTGCTATTCTAATCACATGTGTTTTGTAACACTCCATCTATACATCTATCCCTCCATCTCTCCATCTCTCTGTCTATTACACTTGTAGTTGCAGCTTTCTTATGTGCATTTGTCTCCACCACCTGACTCTGAGCTCCCTGAGATGCTGTTGACCTAGCAGAGTGCACACCATTCATTTCATTAATTTATTCAGCTAACATTTATTGGACACCATGATCACCTGACATCATCTAGGTGCTAGGGATACAGTAACAACAGAGAAAGCTTACATTCTAGTGGGGGAGATAAACTATGGACAAATATATAAAGAAAAATTAAGCAATAAAATTAATATCCCTGAACTGCAATGATCCAAGAAATTAGAGATTACTCTTTGCATTGACTTTGTGTACACTAAATTGCATGAAGTGTAACCAGGTTTCTGTATTACAGTATTTTTCTTTCTTTCTTTTTTTTGCTTGTGCTTTAGGTGAAAGTTTACAGCTCAAGTGAATTTCTTATTCAAAAATTTATACACATATTGTTTTGTGGCATTGGTTTCAGTCCCCACAGTGTGACAGCACACTCCCCCTTTTAACCCCGGTCTCCCTGTGTCCATTTGACGAGTTCTTGTCCCTTCCTGCCTTCTCCTCCTGCTTTTAGACAGTAGCTGCCCATTTGGTCTCGTATATTTGAGTCAGCTAAGAAGCACGTTCCTCATGTGTATTATTTTTTGTTTTATAGGCCTGTTTAATCTTTGACATTACTGTGTTTTTCAAGGGAATTATGTAATAGTAGTCCATTGATTTTTCTACTTTTAACAAAGTAGCTTTTAATTAGTATTTTTTTCTCCAAATGTAGAAAAGTGGTTATCGAAAGTATCTTCAAATCTCAACTAGATATGTAGTTTTACAAATTTTACTTAAATTATTTCTAATGATAAAAATATTACTAGGAAAAATCTATTGTCAATCAACAAAGCTTTCTTCGAATACCACATGAATAAGCTCATATCATAATTCATTACATGAAAAAGTACCTATTTGAATGTATTTGTGTGTTGGGGGGGGTGTGATTTCAGGATTCACAGCTGGTGATAGAAGCTTATAAATCAGGGTTTGAGCCTCCCGGAGACATCGAATTTGAGGATTACGCTCAGCCAATGAAGCGCACTGTGTCAGATAACAGCCTTTCCAATTCCAGAGGAGAAAGCAAACAAGAGCACAAACCTGGTGGCAAATCCAAAGGAAAGTTATGGCCGTTCATCAAAAAAAATAAGGTACTGATGGTGGACCCAGTGTAAAATGAGTTTTATGTAAAGTGTGGAAATTTTTGCTTTTTTAGTCTTAAAAAAGTAAGATTTTAAAGCTTCAGTTCCAGAATGCAAAAAGCTAGTGTACTATTTTATTTTAAAACAATATTTCTCTTTGGTGGTGGTATCCTTGCGATGGCCATTTGTTTTATTTCCAATGCATTATCACTTGTCCTGTGTCATGCGCACTAACAGATTAATGACCTTTCAGCTGTTTCTCATCCCTCCTTACACTCCTAAGTCTCCTAGACTGCTGGTTACCTCGGCTGGGAAAGGGAACATTGCACAGAATTTTAATAACAGTTTATCAGCACATCTAATTGAGTTGCTACCATGGATTAATAATTGGGTTTTGAATTCATGTTAACATGTGTATCCATCAACATTTTCGTTTTCTTTTTATAGTGTGATACATAGGTGCATGACAGCATTAACCTGGGGACATAAAATAGGATCAAGACAACACTACAGCGTTAACCTTAGAATATATTCATATTTAATTTGAAAAGACTGTCTTGCTGTTTTCACCTTAGCATTTAAGGTCTTTCATTTCCTCCCATCAAGCTATGTTAGTTTAGGTAGTTTAGAAATATTTATTTACCCTTCTGGCTCAAACTGATTTGGAGTAACTAATTAGAACTGTAGTTTGCATGTGAAAGTCTGCATGAGCTTCTTGTCAAATATTTCTTGCTATTCTTCTGTTGCATTACTTACTAAAATTCCCACTTTCATCCTACTCTTCATTTAACATATCCTACATGTTTTCTTTTGGACCATGGCCTAAATATTTGATTGTGTTTTATTTGCTTTGAATTTCAAATATTATTTGATGCTTATTTTTGTTTTGTGTCTTCTTGTTTCTGATTTTTACTCTATCACTGCTCCATCTCTCACATGTAGCTTATGTCCCTTTTAACATCCCCCCATCAGCCTCCCCCTCCTCCCCCTGCCTCTGCCTCACCCTCTGCTGTTCCCAACGGCCCCCAGTCTCCCAAGCAGCAAAAGGAACCCCTCTCCCATCGCTTCAACGAGTTCATGACCTCCAAACCCAAAATCCACTGCTTCAGGAGCCTAAAGCGTGGGGTAAGTTCTGCTCTGGAATCCTGTCTCTCGCGTGCTTTTGTTGCATGTTTTGTTCTGCATAACTTATTTTGTTTGTGAATGAATCCATTGTGTTTTCCCATAACATAAAAAAAAAGAACCTATGATTCATTATAGCTAAAAAGAAAGAATGAGGAGGAAAGAAAGAAGCAAGGAGGATGGATGGAAGGAAAAAGAGAGAAAGCAAGCTAGCCCAGAGTTCTTTTTGTCTCTAGTACATTTTTGGAAAGACTTTTTCCCACTTCCCCTTTATAACATCTAAGTCATTAATATTTACTTTGATTTTACCAATAAAAGAAACTTAGATTCAGTTTCTAAAACTAGTAACATATGAAAAATTGGAAGCCAATTATTTGCTTAATAATTACTAAAACATTGTGAGTGTAATAAAGATACTTCTTTTTGAGCTATGCCTCAGGGCTGTAAGGGGAAATGTCATACATAAGTCACAGTGGTTTCACTGGCTATTTTGGTGAAATTGTAAGATGTTAATAAAATATCTGGTGACTGGAAAAGGCCTAATGCAGTATTTATTTTTAAAGAGTGAAATAATAATAGCAGCTGACATTTATTGAGTGCTTATTATGTGCCAGACTCTGTTCTACATGCTCATGTACTTTTATTCGACCACCCTATGAAGCCTAGGTACTAATAGTTCCTTATTTTACTAATAAGGAAATTGAGGCATAGAAATGTTAAGGATGTGCCTAAGATCGAGCTAAGAAGATGAAGAGCCAGGATTTAAATCCAGGGAGTCTGCTTACAGAGTCTGAGATTCTGTGACACCCACAGGGAAAGTCTGTTATAACATGGTTGACCCATAAATAGATGTTCTTAAGACTCATGTTTGCCATTCTAATTAAGATTGGATGTGTTTAAGTCACAGGGTTTGATGGAATTGATCCAGCAACCCAATGTAGATGCCATTTCGGTTTACAGAAAAAAAATTGAAATAAAATAATTTATAGCCTCCTAAATAAATCGAAATGGTCAGTCTAGTCTAAGTCTTCCCAAAATACTTTTTTTTATAATGAATAATGAATGTGGCCATTCAGAGTGAACAAATATTTAGTGCATAACACATCTAGTAAGGTTTCTCATCTTTTCCCGTGGGAGTCACAAGACAGTTGTAATGAGATGCTTTCTTGTACAAACACAGTTTTTACTTTTCTCCTTGATCTCCAGTCAACTCATAGTTGGGTTACTTCTTTCCATATAGTGCCCGATAGTTATCACTAAAATCAGAGCTAGATGTCAGCCTTTAGGTTACAAAGCAGCATAAGCAGGTAAAGTCAAGTGCAGTATTAGTCCTAAACTAAAAATTTCTAAGTTTTGTTTTCTCAAGCGTCAGCTAACACATTGTCATAGGAAGAGATCTCAAGCCATAACTCATTAGCTACATGAGAAGTGCCCTCAGATTTGACATCAGCAACTGGTCATGAGGAAATGACTAGCAGTTGTCACTGTTGAGATGACGCTGAAAGTTTTATGCAAAGAATACAGTTGGTGGGCATTGATGGATGAAATTATCTTATTTTAGGTTACCCAGCATTTCAGGATAAGGATTAGAATTTTAATTTTCTAAATATTTTAAGAGAACCATTGTTAGAAGTCAGAGTATGACTTCAGACATGAGTGATGGATTGCACTGAGCTCTGTTATTAGGCCTTGCTGAGGAAACTGCAGCTTCCTGGTTCAGTGATGCTGGCTTTTATAACTCTCCATCCATCTGCACTCCAGTTGTTCATCAAAGAATTTCTAACATAAGACTAGGGTGTTTTTGCTAGACTATAAAGTTTTCTATTAACTATAAATCAGTTAACCCATCTCTGCCATTTCTGAAACCTTTACCAAGCATTCATTTATTATTTTTGTAATGAATATCTCTGTATCTGTCTTTTGGAATCTCATCTCAAAGTATATTGAATATTTATGATTGTTTACCATTTGTTTATGTATTTATTCCATTCTTCCTGTCAACACTGCAAAGTCTGTTGGTTGCAGATGGTTTCTGAATCTGTGTTTCATGGTGTTCTCTAAATATTTAAGACCGAAGAATGTCAGTATTGATAAGTGTAAGAAAAAGATGGCTAGAAAAAAATATAATACTGAAGAACAAAAACCAGTGAAATGGAAAGCTGCTTATTTTGATGATTTAAATGAAAACTCTTTTTTACCATAATTAGCAAAATGAATTTCATTTCTTAGTCCTCACATCCATGTTTAGCAAACCTCTGTTTAAAAGATTTCCTAAATGGTGAGTGTGTTTTGCTGAGGGTAAACACACACAAGCATACTAGAAGCATCAGTAAATAGAAAAATGTTTTGCTTCCATCATTTTTGGTCAATCTGTTCTTATTTAGGGTCAAATTTAATGTTCCTCTCTTCAGGAGATAGCAGTTTAAAAAATGGAGAAAAGAAAAAAGAAAGGGGAAATACATCATAGAAGTAAAATTAGGAAGTTCAAAAAACAAATCTAAAGTTTGGGGAAATAAATTTGATTTTAAAACAATCTCAATGTGAGAGGTATGTGGTTTTTAGGATCCATGACTAAAATGATACAGTCATTGCTACCATTTGGTTAGTTCTGCTTTTAAACTTAAGACTATTGTGCCAAAGGTAATTTAGTTAGGAAAATCATCCTAGGAGAATAACAACTCTATCATTTTAATATGTCTTTTAATTTATCATGTTTTGCAGCTTTCCAATCCAGATTTCAATAATTTGTTTCTGTCATCAGAATGTATAAATCCTGTACCAATATCTCTTAGCATAACTGATTTTGTTTCTAAATGCTTAAACAGGATAAGTGCGTTTTCATTGGAAGCCATGGATACTTGTAACAATTTTATTTCATCAAACATCTTTAATGATTGGTATGCCACGTGAGCATTAGTAATTATTTCATCTTTATGTAAATCAAAGAAAAATGAAACTAGATTGTATGTTCTTAATTTGCAATCTGCAAGTTGTAATTTTATTGCCTTAAATTAAGGTTTCTTTTTCTGGTCTGAGCAAGGGGCTTCTAAATCTAAAATATCATCATATTTTTTTCCATATTTTAGAGTTAATTATATGGAAAAGTACCAAAAAGATTGATCAAGAGATCTTGAAAATTCTTACCAATTGTTTGTCAAATGTTACTATCTTATGGTTAATTTAATATTATTTATTTTATCTTGTTTTCTTGCTGATTATTGGCAGACTCAGTCTTTCTGTTTTCACAAAGAACTCATGAAGAGGACAATAGGGAAACCCACGTATGCCTTTGAGGCTAGGGACTATGTTGTAAGTTTACCTGTGATGGCCAGGTCATACAGTCACGGCACAGCCACTAACCCCATTGACCACCAAGACTGGGGACCCAAATGCACCCTGCTGTGCTTCTACACAAGAAATGAAATTCTTAATTGAAAGGACTGTATACAGGAAAAAGTCTGATGTATATATTCAACCCCAGGTTACTTCCTCTGAAAAACTTGCATGAAAAAGGAAACCAAACTTCTGAATAACGTCAGTGAACTAAGCTTGGGTTTTTTTTCCCTTTTCATTCTAGTTCTGGTAAAATCTTTAAAGGGATTGTGACTGCTGTCTGAGAAGATGTCACTGGGTCTGTGTATGATTTTATGGCAGAATTTCACCCATAAAACACAGCTGCAGAGTGTGGTCACAGGAGAATGACACTCTTACAAACTGCAGTTGTATAGCACAATCCGTGTTTGGAACAAATGGATCCATAAAGGATTTATGTGCATAAAGCTTGGAGAACAAACAAACCAACGAAGCATGAGCAATTTCATACAAATGATTTTCCATAGACCTTAAATATATATGCTTATATATTCTTATTGTCCCCTTTCTTTGTATTTGAGGTTAGTGCCTGTGACTGTCCAATAACACATGGACTTGCTGGCTCTGTGTTCCCTCATGTGTTATTGACGCTTGTGGCTCCCAAGGCTCTTTAATTGTCGCCTGAAACTGACAGCTTTTTAGTTCTTCAGGTGTCTAGCAATGCACTTAATGAAGCCATTAAAATTATTCTTTTAGCACATGATTAGGTTTCTAATTTTAAACCATCTAATTGGCTGGCTTACAGCTTAAAACTGAAAACCAATTTATAATGGTTAAGCAGAGTACTGTATACCGTGATGGTGCTTCCTGTTGATGATCAGCCACTGCCCACTTCAAAAAATTGAATTTGTCTTAGAATTCAGAACTTCCCATTTCTATTGAAATCTTTCTTTCAATCCTAATGACTATGAAGTGGTAATATTCCTGAGCTATAGTTTGATGTTAGAATTCTGGTTCTGGAGTATTCACAGAAGAGTGTATGACCTCAGGTAACTGAAGAAGCTGAACAGAGAGCAAACAGTGTTATCTAGTTCAGATGTTAATTCTTCAGATTAGCCATGTTTAGACAATAGTGTGGGAGAAAACATTTGTATAGGTAGTGTGCTTGGTAGGAAGACATTTGGAAGGTTTTCTGCTGTGCACCATAAGTGTTGTCTGTACGTACAAAGGACTCAAATTGTGATGAACAGATCTATGCTAAAGTTCACAGGAAGGCTCCAGTCGTTAATGCAGACTGCCTACATCTGAAGAGTCACGGGCGTGACTGTATGTGCCTTTCTTTCAAAAGTTTTATCTTGTTATTTCTTTCCTTAAAAGTCTCTTCTTTCCATACAAGGACAATTTCTTTTAAAATTGAATGCCTGTTTACAAAGAAGTGCTGACTTTGATTTAATCTTAAGTTAAGAATTTGATTTTTTAAGCCTAGTTAAGGAATTTTAAGGAGAGTTAGTGGCACAGTGGTTAAAGTGCTCGTCTGCTAATCTAAAGGTCTTCGGTTCAAAGCCACCAGCCGCTCCTCGGGAGAAAGATGGGGTAATCCACTTCCCTAAAAATTTACAGCCTTGGAGACCCTATGGGGCAGTTCTACTCTGTCCTGTAGGATGGCTGTGAATCACTCTATGCAGTGGGTTTGAGTTTTTTTGTTTGTTTTTAAGGCGTTTTAACCCTCCCCACCCCCTCAATTTAAAGCAGTGAGTACTTTCTCTGGTACTTTGTCTCAAAAATACCTTTTGAATGGATCCTACCAGCAGTTGCCTTAACTTTCTAGGCTTGATAACAACAGCTAAGTAAGTATCATGCACTGAGCTCTTAAAATACTGCATTATAGGCATAGAACAGGATTCTCTTGTTAATGAAGAATTGAATATTTCTTTTCCCAATTTTGAGATGTCCTGTAAGCTCTGTTTTGGGGCCAGTAATCACTGTATCTCTCTGCAAATCTCCAGGCCCAGCAGGATTGCAGCTTGCTGAGGCGTGATAATTATCAGGAATTCCGTAGTCAGGAGCATCCCTTGGTAGTTGAAAGAGTTGGCTACCAGTTTCCTAAAGGTAACTTTCAAGAGCAGCAACTCCTGCCAATTCCCCCCAAAAGATCTGTAATCCCTGTGGATATGGCTCAGTGTTAAATAGAAAACCTCTGAAGACCCCCACAGAGCAGGCAGGATGTGGTGCGTGGTGCTGTGAGCCCACCAGTGGGACAGAGCATGGTCTTTCTGCCTCTAGCCCGACGCTGAGAGGCTTTCTGAGCTGAGACATTTCTTAGAGCAGCTTGTGATCCTTGGTTACCCCTTCAGTCTGAGAGTTTTGCCTTAATGCCTTTAAGAAATGCAATGTTCATATTTATTAAATTTCTTTATGATAAAAATGTTACATATATGTTGTGGAAGAAATTGGTGTTCAGACTTTTTTAGTCTCTGTAAAACTTTCCTTGGGAAATTTGGTGAATAAAAAAAGCTATATGATTATTTTTGTCATTTATACTCATTTTATGCCACCGCCTGCAAACTTAACTTTAGTTTACACCCAGGCTGACATGACCAAAGACAAAATTGTAACCAAAAACTCTCCTTTTCTATCTTTATCTTTGCTCTGGCAATGTGACAGCTAAAGAAAGGTTTTGGTAGGGATCAGCCTCTCTGTGAACTTTTGCACAGATTCGCTACAAGCCATTTTCACGAATCAACAGGTGAACTTGTGTTATGTTAATACAGTGGAACTGATGAAGTTCCTTTTCTTCTGATGTGCTGTTGTTTTCTCTCTCTCCTCTTTTTTTTTTTTTTTTCCTGTTACCCCTTCAATTTTTACGTGAAGCTTTCTCTCAAGCTGGTAAGCACAATTATTCCATGCATGTCCTGAGTCTAATCAGGTTTTTCTGTATGTGTTTTGTGGGTGCTGTGCCAGTGAACCTATCTTCAAAATTAACTGTTGCTTTGTGCTTCTCTTGTGTGTGCTTTTATTGGCATTTCTTTATTAAACCTTCTGAATACAAAGGTTTGGATTCTAATAGAGGTGATCATAATCTTTTAAAGTTGCTAAGAAAATTAACACTTAACGCATAATTTTGGTTTTCTTTATAATATTGGGGCTTTAAGAGGATGGCAAAAGTTGATAAACTGTTCATATAAATGTAAACATAAGTATTAAATGTTGTAGAGTTTATTTATTGGATCATTTTGTATAAAAATAAATTTCATAATTGAAAGCTGCTCCTCCCTGAGAGCCACAAGAGTAGATGGAAAAAGCTGGGACCCTGAGGGAGACACGCAGGGATGATGCCAGCCTGTGGTGGCCCCTCAGGCTTAAGGCAGCCTTTGAGAACTGAAAAATAAACAGCTAGTTTTTCAGGTGGTACATAAATATGTTTGTGCCTTGTGAATGGTTAATTTAAGAAGCCACAAGATGATTTTGTGGACAGTGAAGAGAGCCTCCTAAGCCTTTCAGAATTATTTACTTAGTGACCTGTGTTGTTTTATTTAACTTTATTGCCCTAGTGAACATTCAAACTAATAATTACATTTATTAAAAGAAACTCTTAACCAACATAACCCATAACAATACTTCAAATATGTATAAGTTACATAATATTTTCAAATTCCACAGCTGATATCCTAAAATAATGGACAATGGTAATCTGTGACAATTTAACCAGGAATAAGATCAGCACTTTCTGCACTGCTGTTGATAATTTAGGATAGTATTTTATGGTTATCCTTATATATACATTTATATGTATGTACATGTACATTTACATATATACACATACATGGGCATGTATATAATACTTTTTCAACCTGGTTCAGTGTTTGGCAACTGGCTCAACCCTAAACAAAAAGGATATTTTATTAAACATTTCTTAGACTAAATAAAATCCTGAGAAGTGTCCTTGATTAAAGTCTTTTTAAGAAGGAAAGAGATCTAGACACTTAAATGAATTTAGTTCATCAGCAGTATTAATTTGGGAGAAATTGGCTCAGTTAACTTGGAGTTTTTCTCAGATGCCAGGGTTTCTTAATTACCCTTTGTTCTTTTGCTGGGGTGCTAGCAGCAAGAAGTGATATTATTAAGACAGTCTTTCTGTTTGAAATACATTTTACCAACTTGTATTGAATTGTTGTTTTGTACCATTACTTTGAAGCAAATAAAGATGTGCAGTGTTGCACAAAAAATGGCTTGGGTGTAAAAATGATAAAATCACAAGAGACATTTGTGCTATTTGGTTAGAGTTGGCCAGGAACAAGGGTTTGGCTCCATTAACATGTAAAATAAGATCCTCTTACATAGCAAAGTCACGTAAAATATGTGTGTGTGATGCCTTCTTTCAATAGCAGTGCCACCTGGTATGGCTGGTCTCTTTGTAAACTAGGCAGCTCCAAAGATTTCAGAAAATATATTTTGACTCAAAGCTAGAAATAAAAATTCCTTCATAGGTCAGAGTATTGTTTAAAAGCATTCAAGCTTCAAAAGGCTAATTGGATGAAATGAACTTTTAAGGTCCCTCTGGAAACATCAAGTTTCTTTGGCTTGAAAAGCAGCTGTTGACCTGAATCTCCAAAGGGGATGTGAAGTTTTGTATGAGGCAATTACTGAGATTAGTTTTTAAATAACAACACAGAAGCATCTATTAAAAGAGACCTAATTGTTTTAGTTGTTGTATTTTTGTTGTTGTTTAGGGTATCTATTTATAAGTCATAAGTACAGTGTGTTTTACTTACAGATTTCTTTGCAGCATTTATATACCAATGTACATCTTTCACCTGTTCATAGTCTAGACCTGCCCTGTCCAATACGGTAGCCACTAGCTACATGTGGCTACTTAAATTTTAATTAAATAAATTTTAAAATTCAGTCCCACAGTTGGACCAGCCACATTTTAAGTACTCAATGGCCATCTGTGGCTAATGGCTACTGTATTGGACGCTGCAGATATAGAACATTTCCATCATTGCAGAAAGTTCTATTGGACTCACAGCCAATTAGATGAAGCCTTGAGAAAGCTTCTAATCCAACCCCACCCATCAGGACAGAAGCATAAGAAGGGGAAGTTGCCAGCTACTTAGTATCAGAGCTCCACAGCCTCACTCAGGGCCCTACACATAGTAAGCTTATTGACCACTTACTAGGTTTCCTGACTTCTGAAGCAGTGTTTCTCACACTGTTTTGTTGTATTCCTGCTTAAAAAAAAAAAAAAAAAACTCCGTTCTAGAAAACATGCTGGTCTGCTGCTATAAGTAAATTCAGCATGAGAACAAATTTTTTTTTCCAAGCTCAATGATTGAATTGAGGAAAAGCAAATTATTAAGCTTTCAAATATTTTAACACTCTAGTATATGGATAAGAAAAAAAGTCTTATTTTTATACTGACGATTAGTGTTGCTTCATCTTACTTTCAGAGTCTAATTAAATTTCCTTGGTTTAGCATTAGGGAAAAGTCACTTCCATTCTGGTTCACCCAAATCTTATCTCTTCCCACTCAACACACACACACAACCAGAGAGTCAAAGCCGCTCAGTTAGTGCATCTGATGGAAGAGTCTTTGAGAACATTGATGGAAAGGTCTTTGTGTGGCCTTTGTGGTAAACTATTTGCTGAATCACACACTTCCCAGCACAGCAGCCTGGCATTTTAACATAATCAGCCTAGGAACTTCAGTCACAAGCTTTCGTGTGAGCTACTTGGCAAACTCAACTTGATTTGGGAATTACATTATCCCAGCCCCTTCCTTTCCACCCACTCCAAGCCAGTCTTGCCCTTGTTTTAAAAGAATTGAGGTTTTAAAATAAAATCTCTTTTGTAAATTCCCTGGCTTATCGCTGGTTATTGAATAAATTTATCTTTCTCTATGAAAATAGTCCCCTTTAAGTAAAAGCACTTGGCCACAACTTAGCCACAGCTTTCTAACAAGTAAGCACATGTATAAGTCTGGAAACTGTTGATCTTTTCTACTTAAATCACATGCACAAAGGAAAGATAACACTTGTTTTTTAAAGGGAATCAAGATACCAATATACATCTACAGAGAGATTACGAACAGCTGAGATTGATTTCATACACTGGGGGAAACTGATTTTTGAGGGCAGGGAGAGCATTCTATATGAATTCTTTAAGGCTACCCTAAAGCTAATGAGCTAGCCAAGTGTCAAAAAGAAGTGGTCAGACTCTTACAGGGAAGAGTGCATGGGGGAGGAGGATACATTTTTTAAATATCCTTTTCACCCACACTGTCTGTGGAATGTGATGTCCCATATGTCAGTTCGCGGGTGTGGAAATTTTGGCCTCAGCCTTGTGTGAAGAGATGGGAAGGAATACTCAGACCAGGGAAAAAAGCAATGCCTGAGACATGAAACAGTTGATGGGGGACTTATCACTGGTTTGTATTAAGGAAACATAAACTTCCTTATATTAAGGAGGCAAAAACTTTAGTGTTTACCACAGACACTAATGGTAACACTTGGTAATAAAATGAAGTCTCTGTCTCAAAATGTTTTTAGTTGATAGTCACTGGAATCAGAAGTATTTCTTCTTCCCTCTCCTTCCTGTAGCATTGCTCCTTGCCTTTTCAGAGGCATTTTGGGCTAGCATCAATGGAATACGAAATGGTTTGTGGGACTTTTGCAGTTTGCATGCATTGGTTTTGCATTTCACCTGGGTATGGTGGGAAAGAGCTTAATTTATTTCATGAAAACCTGTGCAGACTTCTGCAACCACCTGATGTCAGGGGTGTCTTTCCTGCAGGCTTTACTCAGTATTTTTTCTTTTTTTTTTTTGAAGGAGTACTTTAGGGCTTTCTAGCTTCTCATTTATATTTGCATCTGCAGGGTGCAACACCAGAGGATTTCAGCAACCTGCCACCTGAGCAGAGAAGGAAAAAGCTACAGCAGAAAGTCGATGAATTAAATAAAGAAATCCAAAAGGAGATGGATCAAAGGTAGAGTGGATCGATATGCCTTATTAAGAAATTCATTTCAATTTGGAAATACGGTAAATCATAAATCCTAAAGTAGATTTAAAAGTGAGTATTTGAGCAGTGTGTTTTGTCACAGATATTCTACTAGATTGCTTTATTATAGATTGGGAGATTCCCTTTTACAAATAGATTTTATTCTGAGTTTTGAGAGCAAAATACATGTAGTTATCTCTTCTATCACGAGTGTATAGGTGAGTGTTTTCGTACAAAAGAGGAAAAGAGAGGTGGCATGACTCTCACCCCCTCCCTTGCCCCATATCCCAGCTTTGGGTTAAAAATTTGTTTGTCTTTCTATTTGAATATAAATAAAAATCAGCCTTCATATAGGTTTTTAAGTCTTCCTTTCTTTTTATACAGTGTATGATGGTGTCTAGAAAACAAATCACAACATGTCTTCATGTACACACCACCAGCCATTAGAGGTGTAAATGTTTACTTGCTCTCAAGAAGAGTCTGTACTAGGCTTCCACCTCAAGGGTTCCCAGTTTTCTGAGCTGTTTTGTAAGTTTGACCTTTGGGATGGTAGGTTGGTGCACATGCAAAAATAAAAGTAAAAAATGATTCAATATCTCTTCTCATTTGGGCATTCCTCCCCACATTTACACCCTGTAATACTTTCACATCATTTAACCCTTTGCCATCGAGTCGATTCTGACTCATAGTGACCCTATAGGACAGAGTAGAACTGCCCCCATAGGGTTTCCAAGGAGCAGCTGGTGGATTTGAACTGCCAACCTTTTGGTTAGCAGCCTGAGCTCTTAACCACTACACCACTAGGGCTCCTCACATCATTTAGGGGATATTAATTGCTTCCCACCTTACATGTTCTCACTGAGTAAAATTGGTGAGTCATTCATTTATTTGAGATTTGAACTTAAATGATAACTTGAGGTTTTATGCTCTATAAATAGGCTAAATGATGATCTTCTATACAGTTTAGTTACATTGATGCTGGGGTTAAAATTTGGTTATGCACTTTGGTTTAAGTACAAAGAAAAGGTATGTTTTATTCTTTATGCCTGGTAGAGCAATTACTAACAGGTCATTTTATAACATAGTTACAGTTTTAAAAAAACCAATAACACTATATTTAGCTTTGTCCTCATTTTGCATTAGAAATATACTTCATAAAGTGAAAATTTTATCTTTGTACTTTTTATTCCATGGGTGACCAAATATAAAGAGGGTTAATATGTTATAAACCTCATGTTGTTTAATAAGATAGCAGGTGATTTCCTACAGGCGTACAATGTTATGACTCAAGTATCTGAAATGATATCTTATAGGTTGTTGACAGACTTAAAACATCTACTCTTTCTCTCTAATTGTCCAATACCATGTAGAAAGTTTTCTCTGCCACTTGGGTCATGGCCATGGAACCTGGTTAACCTGTTAACCTCTGTGGCAACCTCTTGTAGAGCAAGATTAGGGGGTTGGCAGTCCAGGTGGAGCCAGGGCTCAAGTGGAGGGTTGGCCTCAGAGGGTAGCTGACAGCTCATCAGGGTTAACAGAGGGGAGACAGTATATATCAAATTATCATTTAAGTTCAAATCTCAAAGCAAATCATGGCCAACCATTCACTCAACAACCATTTATCAAGCATTATACAACGTGCAAGGAAATATTCTAGGCACTAAGGGTAAAGCAATGAACAAAGCATACAAAAACCCCTGCTTTCATGAAGTTTACATTTTTGTGCAGGGGAAACAGAAAATAAATAAAAAGGTTTTGAGCAGAGAAGTGACACAAGCACGAAAGATTTTTAAAATAACCCATCCAAAAAGGCAAGAAGGAAGAGAAAAGAAAAATATATAGAATAGGCAGGACAAATCAAAAGCAAAAAGTAGGAAGGTAGGTTTAAAAGCCCCCAGTGCTCCTGACAGCCTGGCTTCAAATCTAGCTTTTTAACTTACTATTGGGGATTTTGTAAAAGTTCCTTAACCTCTTGGTACCTCAGTTTCCTCATCTTTAAAAGGGGCTATTATGTCCTGTTTGTGTGAGGATTAAATGAGTCAACGTTATATAAGTAAAGCGCTTAGAACAGTGCCTGGCACATGAGTGTTTATAAATCAGTATGTTAAAGGTAAACTGACTACATGTTCCGATTAAAAAATAAAAATTCTCAGACTGGATACAAATAGAAAATCTGCCAGTATGCGATCTCCGAGAAATACATGTGACTCATAAGGTACAGAAAAGTCGAAAGTAAAAGAATGAAGAAAATAGACTGTGCAAATGGTGACCAAAAGAAAACTGGAGTGGTTGTGTTCATACCAGACAAGACTGACTTCCAGACCCAAAAAAAAAACCTACTCAAATGAAAAGGATCAACTTCCTACATTTTAAATCTCTACGTCCACAATAGCATACATTCAAAATATAGAAAAGTAGAAATTGACAGACATATAAGAAGTACAAATACGTCATTGTAGTGGGGGATTTTTTTTTTTTTTTTTT